TGTATTCTGGGTTGCAGGATAGTTTCTTTACCAGAGAACTTAGACTTCATGATCTTCAATCATCGTGGGAAGCTCTTTCCTCCTAAAGTAGACTTGAAATTGAAATGCTGATGACATCTCCACAGAGTGAAAGGATATTTTTCAGGTTTTAATTGAGGTGAATGCTGCTAACACTGGGGGTTGCTAAACTTTGAAGGATTGGCCAGCATGTGGCATGTTAAATTTATTTTGCTGTTCGCCACTTTTTAGTTGCTCAAGATTGGTTTGTCTCCGTCTTCTCTTCCATCTGCAATTACTCGAGACTTTTTTTGCTGTATGTTTGACCATTATTAAGGAGATTTTCGTTAATTATGTCAAAAAAGCACCAGATCTTGAAGATTCAGGGCCGCTGTTTGGGACCTAAATTGTCTGAGGTTGTTTTGTTCTTCCTTTCTAATTTCTAGCAGTAAACGCAAAAGTGGCTTAAATATACAGCGGATCACGTCAATTTCTCTTTTGCAAAATTTCTTGTTATCGCTTCAACCAGTATGATAATTGGTTTAGATGCCAGTAATAGTTTATCAGCTTCTTTCTTTATGAAGCTGTCCCTTCTTCTCTTTTTCAAGTATGCTATTTAGTTCTTTTCTAACGCAGCTTTTACGAAAAGTAGAGATCACGGAGGTGGAGAAAATCCCGTGGTTTGTACCTGTAGTTAATTTGGTTACCTGTAACTCTTAGCAAACTATTAAATTAGTTCTTGTACTACTTCAAATTAGTTCATATGCTGTCTTCTTGTAACTATGACCTACGTACTTTTTAAAAGTTTTTAATTTAGTGATGGATTATTAATACATACTAATATCATTAATGAAAATGTCATATGGATTCAGTGTTATATTTTGATTGTGCTAATATTCACTTTAGATGTCACGCATCTGAAGCATTTGATATGAAAAAAAAAAATTATAAAATTAATTATAATAATAAAAAATTTAACCTAAAATTTGATTTTTTTTTTTTTTTAAAAAAAAGGCATTTCACCTGCGGATTAAGTGTTTGTTTTATTTTATATTTTTAATTTTTAAAAAAATTAAATTTTTTACACATCAAATATCATATCTTTAAATATGTGGCATTAATATAGATACTGATTTAATTTAAATATTATATGCGTTCAACTTGAATACATGTATCACTTCCATTAAAAGTATCAGCGTGCATTAATAGTTAAAGATTAAATCAAAAATTGTTTAAAAGCACAAAAATTAAAATTACAAAAACAAATAATATAATAATTAATTTGAACGTTTTAAAATAATATAAACTAATTTAAGAACAATTTATTCTAAAATTCAAAAGTTAAAGCAAAAATTTGTGTCTTAATGTTATTAACTACATTTCTCTTCACTTTATCCATGCATAAGTTGATATCCCAAAAGCAGCAATTGATCTCTTTCCTTAAATCCCTTCCCTTACAATTTGCATTCCAAGATTACAAGAACTACGGCTATTTCTCTAAAGATTGTAGAGAGTTTATTGGTTGTGATGAAGACTATTATTTTTCTTTCCCAATCTCCCTTTGTATATCCAAGATAATAGATATTCAAGAGAGGTCTTTTCTCTTCTAAATTTTATTAAAAATTTATAACAAATATTTTGTAGCACCCGGGAAAAAAAAAAAAAAAAAAAAAAAAAAAAGAAGGGGGGGGGGCCACGTCAGCAGCCACGTCAGCAGTCCCGGCCAACCGGGGCCTGCCACGTGGCAAGATCGTGTCACTCCAAAAGGAGCCACGTTGGCGATCCGCGTGGGTGCGATCCGACGGCCCAGATCAATCGCGCGATCGGACGGTCCAGATTCAAACGCACGGACGGCCCAGATCCAATCAAAAACGAACGGCCCAGATTAAAACGAAACGAACGGCTGTGATCAAAAGGCAAGGGGTTATAAATAGAACCCCCACACCAGACCACAAACCCTAGCCGCCAGCCGCTCGCCGGAGAAGACGAACCAGAGGCCGACCGCCGCCACCCGCCGCCACTCGCCGCCGCACCGGGGAAATTTCCGACCGCCGATCGAGGTAAATTTCATACCCCCGACTCGTTTTTCCCCACTGATTCCTCCTATGGCCAAATCGAAGCCGAAATCCCGGCCAAACGGCCGGAATACGCGGCCGAAGCCCAACGGCGCCGCCGCGCCCCCTCTCGGTTTTTGCCTCCGACGAGGCCCTTCCCGGCCTCCGTTCGATGCAATTTTTATATCACCGTGATCACCATTCTTTTCTCTACAGGTTGACCGAAGCCAAATCACCAAAACACGAACCTCGCCGGAGAGTCGCTGCACCCGAGAGCGCCGCCGCCGGTAAGCTCCGTTTTTCCGTGATTTTTTGGCCCCCCGAGGGCCCTAGGGTTGTTTTCTGACAAGGACCAATGCGAGCGTGGCCGAATTCGGCCGAAAACGGCCGAAAACAGCCAACCCGAGGCGACTCGCCGCCGCCAGCGGCGGCGCCGTCGCCGGAGCACGGCGGAGCCGCCGTGCCGGAGTTGCGATTTGGGCCGAAAGAGCCCTGGGCCTAATTTGGATTTTTTTTGGAACACGTGCAGTACTCTTAGTGTGTTTCAGTTTCCCGGGAAAAAAATTCAGGAAAATTAGGGACGGCTGCAGGCGCACTGTGAATCGTATTCGGATCTCGAAAACAGTAAGACCCCTCACCTATTTCCTATCACGGTATTAAAGTTCAAAATGATAAAACGGTATTTCTTGAATTAACGAATGTGTGAAATTGCTTAAGGTGGCTAATGGAGCCCGAGTCTAGTGTGATTGGTGATTTACTGTTATTTAGCCTGTTTACAGCTTTAAATGCAAAATGAGGTTTGATGTGTTCATTTTACAGATTTGTGTGCATATACTACGTTTTTATTAATCATGGGTTGAATGACTGAAAAACTGATACTGTATGTTGTCTGTTCGGCATGAATTACTGTTTTGCTTGTTTGTATGTGAATTGATGATGCTGACTGAGGAAAAGGAAAATGAAAGATTGTGTAGACTGATAATTGTATTATGGGAGTCAGCCTAACTAGATATCCTGGGAGATGGTGGACGGACCAGGTCCGTAGGGAACCCTACCGGGATTGTGGTCTCACATGCCGGACGGGGTATGAAGATCTTATGGTTTTGGCGCCCATACCGGACGGGGTATGGGGACGGCCCGTTTCACCCTCATACCGGACGGGGTATTGAGGTTGATGGTTTTGGCGCCCATACCGGACGGGGTATGGGGACGGCCCGTTTCACCCTCATACCGGACGGGGTATTGAGGTTGATGGTTTTGGCGCCCATACCGGACGGGGTATGGGGACGGCCCGTTTCACCCTCATACCGGACGGGGTATTGAGGTTCATGATTTTGGCGCCCATACCGGACGGGGTCTGGGGACGGCCCTGGAAACTGATTATGAATGTTAAAGGTTAACGGGTAGCGGAACCCCTATGGACCCCCACGGATACTAGTAGGCTGGTAAATGAGAAAAAGATATGTTGTACAATGATTGAATTACAAGAGGCGTGATAAGTGTTATGTTTTACAGCTTATATTATTCAATGATTATGATAATGTTATTGTTTTTCTTATATTGTTTTCATAAATTCCACCGAGGTAAGTGGATGGTAAAGGTTTTCATGTTAATAAACGAGTTTATTGTAAATTATGCTCCATTGGTCTTTTTGTATTTTTCTACCCACCTTTACCTCCGTGACGGTGAGATATCGTGATGTTCTTACTGGGCTAGTGTAGCTCACTCCTTATTTAACCATTTCAGATCAGGAAGACATGGTTCCCGAGCCCGTTCCGCAGGAGGACGACGAAGGGGATGCCTAGAGACTCTGTAGTCATCTCATAGTTTTATTTTCGAGTTTCTCTCTTAGTTAGTTTAATCTTTTATATTTTAAGTACGTTTTTGGTTTTTCGTGTAAGGGATGTTAACTGAAATTTTGATCTCGCTTCCGCATTTGATATATTTAAATACTCATTTCATTTTAATATTTCCGGGGCCGTTACATATTTAATCTCAAATTATGATTCACTGTTTATGTAATAAGATCATAGATCTAGATCCAAGATTCAAACTAAATATTTATTATTTCCTCAATAAGATTCATATCAAATATTTAAAACCTCTAACTCGTTCACATAGGAAGAGTGATTCTCAAAAAATATTTTTCCAATTCATTTTACACTTATTTTATTATATAGAAGATGAATCATCTAATCATATACGAGACACATGAAAGAAGGAATATAGTATTAAGTCATAACTTAAACTAACAATATGTCACTCAAAAAGTAGTGTTTACTATTTTGTATTGTTTATATTTATTAGAATAAGTACTCTTGAATTCCTTTTAACACGAATTATAATCAAACCCTCAAAGTCGCCAAGATAATATAATTCTTGTGTTATATTACTTGAATGAAGATGCAAAATAATTGAGTTTCAACCTCTATCAACTTAAATTAAATAACAAAAACAAATAGAATAATTACAAGAAATTATGTAATAAAAAATTATGTTTAAATAATGTTCTATCCAAAATAATATAAAGGATGACAAATAAAGGTAAAAACAAACCACAAAAGCAAGAGTCTTACATTAATAGTAGATTATGTTGCACTCTTAGTGTATAAAGCACGTAATGTGGTACTGCTGTAAGCCAAGCTGTTGACGGTATCATGAGCCAATCTGAAGCGGAAGAAAAAATACGATATACTTTATTGTTAAATCTATCTTTTATAGAAGATTTAACAATTTATGGATTGGTTGTCACATTAGTGTTTTTATTTGCGAATCTTTTTGTTTAATCCTACAAATTTGAAATTTATATATTTTTTTTCTTATTTTATGGATTGGGACTTGCTCCTTGCTTTTTCGAATTATATCAAGATTTCACTCGTACAGTTATTTATTCGTTAAGACCATAATCCACGGAATGACTAATTTGAGGATGAGGAATTAGCACACTAACTCACTTTCTTCCTTCTCCCCTCTTATTTTTAGTCCAATGAAAATCTTTTTATTTGTTTTATGGAGTGTTGTAAAATAAAAATAAAAAAAGTATTTTGAAATCGACATGACGTAACTTGAGTTAATGCTTCATTTCATCAGTATCATTTCTCGTTTAAACCCTTAATGCTCAATAAATTAATAATAAAAATGTTGTCCACTATTGATATGCATATTTAGTCACTCTTATATTTAAAATATAAATAGGATTAACATAAACAATTAAAACATGTGCATAAATAAAATTAAAAAGTAAAAATTTATGTGCATAAATACATATTCATCTTAGTGCAATCAAAAGTAGAGTTTCGTTTTCTAACAATTAAGCACTTTACATTAGATTTTTTTTCTTCTTACCATTTATTTATTTTCTGTTTACTGACCTATTCTTTTTCTTTTTTAGGATACTTGATTATCTGTAACTTCTTTTTTATCAATACTTTTTTTGGTGTTTATTATTTTATATAAAAAAAAAAACAGTTTTAGATTACCTTTTAATATTTTCTTATGATTTAACATAATTAGTATATCTAAAAGATTTTTTTTTGATGTTTTCCTAATGAATTACGATATACTTTATCATATCAGAAAAATTATGTATAATTTTTTATGGTTTTTTTGCTTTTGAATACTTTTTTTACCCCTATTTTACAATTTTTAAAAGCAAGGAAGAAGCATAAGTCTTCTTCTTTGACCTTTCCCAATCTTAATGAAATAACAAAATAATTCATCTAAAATGTCGTCTATAACATTTAGGAAAATATTTGTTGATCGAGCTGGTTAAGAAAATTAACTTAGATTTGGATAGAAATGAGTTGGGTGAGACTAAATGGTTAAATAGTTTTTTTCATTTTTTTTTTTTAAATTTTTGGGCTAGATGCTTATTTGCATGTGACGAATTAGGCATCTTTTATGACTTTAAATAAATAAATAAAAATTATATTTACCATGTTTGCTAATTGTAGAAGTTAAGTATTATCCGATCTAAATTGAAAAATTAATTAGATTGACAAGTTCGGTTTGAACCTAATCGGAAAGTTTTTGAACTGAAATTTCAATTATATATGAGTTCAGTCTTAATTTTTTAATATTAAAAATTAAAATAAATATATAAATAATAGTTTGTATATTATATATTATATAAATAAAATATTTAAATAACAAATGTAAAAAATTAAATCTTTAAATAAATTTCAGTTCATTTTGTTTCAAGACTAAACTCAAATTTTTTGATCTGGTCTCATCTGAATCCAAGTTCCACTTTGATTTTGGTCCAATTACAAATTGATGCTCACCACTAACTAATGAGCTGTAGAAGTTAATAAACTTACATAAAATCAACTAAAATTAATTTATTCAATTTTTAACCAAAATTTGTGCAGTGTTCTCTTTTATTTATTTTATTTTCTTCTTCTTCTTATATTCTTATTTAATCTTTAAATTAAAAAAGGAGATTCCACACGGCGTCGTATTCTGTTTCGCCTTGATTTTCTCTCTCTTAGCTTTTGGGATAAAACCAGTATCCCCGCAAACGGAGAAGCCTGCGGCTACTAGAGAGCACGAGTAGCAGAGAGCATAATCGAAAATGGAGAAGTACTTTGGAAACGCTTACAGGGGCGACCCAGGAGTTCCTCATGCCGACGCGGACCGGTTCGTGAACATATGGATCGGGTCGGCTGCTTTCTCTGTTCTTACATGGATCAATCCCTACATGTGGCAACTTTCTAATCAATTCAAGTATTTCCTTTCTCTCTCGTTCAATCTAAAAGAGGGTTTTGAGTGTCCTTAATTGTTTCTTCTTGGTAGCTTTAATATATTCCCTCATCTTTTCTACTGATTATGCCAAGAATTTTTGTCGTCGCTTCTGATATACAGTCAGTGACAGTGTATTATTCAGTTTATTTAATGGGGAGTCATTGTAATTCGTGTAAATAGACGTATAAATTGTTTTTGGTTTAATGGTTATTCAGAGAAAGGGGGCTCTGTTCTAGAATTGATGCTAATTAATTCCTTAAGATTGCTTACCTGCAAGCATTGATAAAAGCAGGCGGATCATTTTCGCCGGGGTATAGGAAACTAATGCAATTTGATATCTTGTAGGATGCATAAGTTTGTCATACTATAATGAAAAAGAAATAAATGATGAGTTGATTAGGACGATGCATTTTCTTCACTGATTTATTTTTTAGCTAGTCATTGATAAGATAATTTCCTTGAGAAAATTTAGTCGTAACTGGTGTATACTCAGTCCAATACTTCCTTAAGCTAGTCGAATAATATTTCAAACGAAGAAAATAACACCCATTGGGGCAGCTGTAAGTGCTAGGTTTTCAATCTCTTCTTTCTCATGCTTGTTTAGTTAGTATTGCAACCACTGTGGGTGAATTAATCAGTATACTGCCCAGTTCATGGCATCATTCTCTGGCTAGCTTTATACCAAAAGCTGTAGGGAATTTATCTGTCTTTAGGGAACAAAAATTTCTTTCATCAATACTTCCGATTATTTTCAAATGGAGCTACTGAACTTCATTATCATTTCTAGGGTTTCCCTTCAAATATTTTTTAATTTGAATTTCTTTTATTGCTATGTAATGCATGTTTCGGTTCAATCCTGTGTTTAACCTTGACGGAACATGCTAAAGTAGAATGAATAATGTCAATGTAGATGCAAATTTTTTTGGCTTTGATAACTAAAGACATAAGGGACTTGTGCGAAGAACCTCATGATACTTTACTTTCACATACATGATATCTGATGTGTGAAGAACCATTTGGTTCCTTTAATTATCAGTTCAGAAATGGTACTCCTCGTTGAGTTTAAGAAACTTGTTGAGCTATATTTCCCTACTTTGACGTACCTCTACTCCTTATTGGATGTGAGACATCTCATTATGCATTCAGGGAATGCTAAAAGGAACAAAATTAGCTTACAGAACTTACAGCTTGGAGTTAATCTATTATAACAATTTAGACAAATTACTATTTTAGTCCTTGAACTACAAATCATGTCACTACTGTGTCCCAATAAACTTATAAATTTATTCAAATATGTGATTTTCAATGAAATATTTTGTAGAAAGAACAAAATCTCTTTTTGTTGTGTTAGATGTGAATTAGGACTGCGAACTTGGAAAAGAAAATCTAAAAAGATGGTTATTGTCGGCATGTCTTCTTTTTTTAAGTTTCATGGTTATAATTTAAATGGAAGAAATTGATTGTATTATCAACTTTCATTTGCACTTGCTGTAACTCTAGAGACTAGATCTAGATAGAAAGTTTTAAAAACCAAAAAATAAACAAAATATAGATAATGCATAAAGAACTTCCACTCTCTGTTTAATTTTCATGATTCTGTAGAAAAGAATCCAAACAACTGCATATTTGAGGATCAGATTATAATGGAAAGAAATGCTTTTAGGATTCAACTATAAATGGGTCGGAGCTCAAAGGTTACAATTATAATGTACCCTAACAATTGTATATTTTTCTTCTACCATCCCTAAAGTTCTAAACTTGAATTTAGATAGGCCTGCTCTGGGACCTGTTGGAGCTTCCATGAAATCTTGAAAAAAAGTGACAATTTTTTTTTTTAAAGTTATGAATTCTAAATTTAAAATACAGAATTTATGTTGGTCAATCAGATTGCTTTCGCTTCTCACAGCTAAGCAAAATATCTTGATTTAAGTAGATCTTGCTGTTGCCACTTCCTAGCTTGATTTTGTAGGTTGCCAGTATTTGTATTTCAATGAGAAATTTATTGGTAGTTTTGCTGATAGTTGGTGTTGTGAGAAGCCAGGAAGTTAATGCTCTTTCGTTCTTGAATGCACTTGTACCTTCTTCTTTGCTATATTTTGCAGGAATAGATTCTGCTTTTTAACCTAATGTTTGTAAAGTTTATATTTGCAGTTGGCATGACAAAGCAATGTTATTTGAGCAGCATCACTGGAAGAAGGCAAGGGCAAAGAACCAGCCATATAAATTCAAGGTTTGTTGCTTAAAACTTTTGAATCCCAAAATTGTACTATTCCATTACTTGCTGTTTGGTTATGCTAGATGGAAGAAATATATGCTCATCTTTATTTTGTTGTACTCTTTAACAGTGGAATGAGTACATGGACAAGGACCACCGAGACTCGTATTACTTTAACTGGCCTGTCTACTTCCCTTAGGTTCTCCTACATAAGAAAGGTCCATGCTATGAATGTTGTCCGCAGAAGTATTACATTCTCCCCTTTTCTTTCTTGGCTGTCTTCCTCTCTTTTCGGTTCTGATGAATTTGAAGCTGTTTCATTAATTGAATACTTTTTTGGTATTTTTTTTCTTATGATGGAAATTCAATATCTTATCCTGTGAAAGATTAAAAAAAAAACCAATGAATATAGAAACAACAGGAGGTGATGGGTTAGTTGATAATTTTATGGCAGGTTCTATTTCTCTACCAATAGCACAGTCGGATTGTTATTAGGGCTTGAAGTACATTTCTATATATGCTTCTGTCCTACATAAGGAACTTGAGTATAAATTTTTGCTAGCTAATTGCTTGGCTCAAAAAAGTTATTAAGCTAGTAGCTGAGTAGGGAATTACAAATGGGATTGTTGGACGATTCAGTCAAGCAACTGTATTATACCGAGTGATATTGGATCTTATGGGACTTTCTAGTATGATTTGTGGTTTTAATAAAATATGTTTAGTACCTTAGTACCTTAAAACTATTGATATTAATGGTTTATCTATGTGATAATGATATTTTGGGAGTCAGACTATTTCCCTCAGTTGACTCCAAAAGGATTATTAAACTAGTAGCTGGGTAATGGTATTAATAAAGCATGCATCAAGTTCCTGCCACGATCTCGGATCTTGTAAGACCTACAATTGTGATTTGGATATTGTAGGATCTTCAAATGTGATTATGGTTTTCCCTTAGTATCTTAAACTATTGATTATTTGCATGAGTTAGTGTATATTTTTAGTATTTTATGTAGGAATATTTTAAGAGACTTTACAGGAATACTTTTGGGAAACTAAACTTTAGGGATGAAAATTATCATAAAAAAAATCATGTGGAATCATGAGAAATACAAGAATGGAAGCATACCTTGATCTATAGAGCATACTATTATGCATGGATTTGGACTTTTGATTTTCTAAATTGATAAATAAAAGATTTTTCTTTATAGAAAACACGAAAGAATTTTCTATGACTCTCATTCTCTCTTGCTAATGATGAGATTGTAAACAAGTCCTCTCTCATTTAAAATTTAAGGAGTATAACCACTTTTAGCTTTCCAAATTTTCTAATTTTTATTTTGGGTCATCATAAGATTTAAAAGTTGAACTCTTGATATCTAAACATAATTAATTCTATACTTGACGTCATTGAATCTACACCTTAAAACTTTATTTTGATCACTCTTAATTAGACTTACTCTTTATGATTATTATATAATGTACAATTACTATTAATATATGTAGGTCTACTATATAATAGTAGATTATATTCTGTAGCACCCGGAAAG